TTTCCCTTCTTTTCTTGTTCATCATTCTTCTTCAAGGGGTCTTCTTTGCAATTTTTGGAAATATGCCCTGTTTTACCGCATCGATAGCACACATGCTTCCCAAACAAACATTCACCACTATACATTTTATTGCACTTTGGACATGGTGAAATGGCTTGTCCAAAACTTGATCCAAAATTAACCTTTTTGTTCTGTCCCTCTCCCATCCCTTCATTGGACCCATTCCACTTCCTCTTTCCTGATAACTCGGCCCCTTGCTGGGGAATTTGATCTATTTCCAACCTATTTGAGATTGCTTGGGCAGTTTGCAAAACGTGCCTATAGGTGGTGAATTGGTGGGATGCCATTATTCCACCAATCTCAGGACGCAATCCAAGTTCGAACCTCCTTGCTTTCTTTGCTTCAGTATCCACTAGGTGTGGTGCATATCTTGAGAGTTGTTCGAATTTTCTTTCATATTCTTCAAGTTTCGTCTTTCCTTGTCTGAGTTGAAGGAATTCTGTCTCCTTGCGATCCCTCAGGGCTTGTGGGAAGTATTTTCCCATCATTTCCTCCTTAAATTGCGTCCAAGTCAGAGCACGTTGTTGTGCTTCTGTTCTAGTGCGAGATGCTGACTCCCACCAATGGCCTGCCGCGTCAACCAACATAAATTCTGCACATAACACCTTTTGAGCATCAGTGCAAGATAGATGTTTGAAGATTCGCTCCATTCCTCTTATCCATTCTTCAGCTGCTAGTGGGTCTGCCTTACCATCGAAGGTTGGGGGTTTGTAGCGACGGAACTGTTCCACGATTGAGCTGGTGTTGTTAGCGTTTGTACCACGGGGACCACCCTGTGCTTGTTGCCTACCCAAATCTTGTACCGCCCTTAGCAAATCTCTGATGATCGTACCTTGATTTTGTTGTTGTCTCGACATTTTCTTAACACAAATAAAATTTTGACATTTTCTTAAATAAAATTTTAATTTAGGGAAAAAAATTGGTGAAACACTTCTAATATTTTTGTAACAACGAAGAATTTAATATAATTTCCAAATCCTTAAATAAAAAAATTTGCTCTTCAAAAAATCAAATAA